GGTGGGGTCAATGGGGGAAAAGGGGGACATCTGTAATACTTTCAACAATAAAGATAAATTTTTAAAAAAATAACAAACCAGGCAACCTAATTTAATATCCTTTTTTGATGTGATTATTACATTGGCAGCTGGTATAGTGTATCCTGAACTCAGCAAGGCCTTTAGTTGTTTGAAGAACTATATCCAAGGTGTCCCCCAAAAATGTATACACACTTTCAGTAATGATTAATTCCAGTGGGTTAAATCTGAAAAGAAACATCAATTGAACTATCAGCTGTAAAGTCTGTATATATTTTTTGGGCGACACCCTGTGTATCTGAAGAAATTAAAAGAATGATGTGACCTGACGAAGATCTCTACCCATATTCCAAAAGGGTCTGCAGTAGCTTCAGCACCTTCGGCATCTTTGTCAATGACTGATAGGCATTAAGAGAACTCACATTTACTGGGCATCTATTATATGTTAACCTCTCATAGGTTTCTTAAAAAAAGAATATATTTCTGTGTTAGGCACCCTAAAGTCTTTGTCTCATTCAATCCTCACAATAATCCTATGACGTAGGTATTTTTATTCCTATTTTACCAATTAGGAAACTGAGGTTCAGAAAGGTTAAGAAAATTGAACACTGGAGAAAGAATATATGCTCTGGGGGAAAGGTCTGATTAGAAAATCTTGAAGATTTTATGATTTAATGTGCATAATATTTACACAAAAGACAAACTACTATGATGATTCCCTTTACATAAGGATACACCATAGGATTTCTTTAAATCACAGGCTCTCCTAGTGCCCTGAAAATGTGATCCGAATATGTCGAATATATGCAGGTTTTCAGGGATGATCCTGTTCTATTGGATGAGGTGTTCTGTGAATTCCCCCCTTTGAAATGTTATGGATATTTAAAGACCACTAAGAAAGGCTGCAAAAATGTACAAGAGTCAGGAAACCTGGATCCTGACCTTAGCTCTGCTGGTCTTATGTAAAATAATTGCTCCTAAGTCTCTTCTTAATTGTCTTTAAAATCTCTTATTAATGGTTCAATGTGTGTGTGCTATAAATAATTGATTGCACAAAAATAATTCAGTAGGAAGGAATGTTTGATCACAATGACTCAGGGAAAATACGTTGTATCATTTCTACTTAGTAAGCAAATGTTAATAAGTGGTTGAATTTCAATAACTTTGAAAAAACTACAAAAGTTCAATGTTCAAGATGACCACAATTGTATGCTTTTAGTTAATGATTACAAATAGACTTAAAAACAGTTTTCTTTTCTTGTGCAATAACTAGACATCCAGATTTAAGTGGTAACAATAAAAAGATTGGTTTTTCTTTACATTTTTTCTCATTAAACTTTGTTTTAATGGGTCCCAAATTCTTGACAGATTTTTGGTCAAGTTGTTTTTAATAAAATGTGCTGATTTTAAAAACTACTGACTTAAAAACTGCCACACACATACAAAATCCAAAATGGTCCCAAACATTCTCCTTTCCTTCTGAAGGTTTTTATGAGCTCTGCCCTTGTTTTTTGAAGGTTTTAATTTATAGCTGCTGTATCAGAAGACACATTTCAGTGCAGTGTCTTGTTGGACATGAACAACCACATCATCATCTAATGACTTTATTTCTTAACCCTTTCATCTAAAAGTTAGTAATTTAAAATTTTATGTTTGTTTTAGATTCAAAGCCTGGTAAAGTCACAGGTTACGGGTGACTGAAATAATTCCAAGGGAGCGATGTTGAAGTAGCTGTAGAGAAATGAATTTTAGTTAGTGTGATATAAAACTGTATAATAAAATGGAAATTTCATGGACTTGCAAAAATTCTGAGTTTGTAAAATTACCTTCATTTCTTTGGCATCAAATGCTTACACTCGTAATAATAAAATAAGATGACACTTCTCCATAAAAAAGAGAAGTGTGCTTACTAGATCGCATGGTAAGGACATAATTGTTTAGTTTTGTAAGAAACTGCCAAACTTCCTTCCAAGGTGGCTGTACCATTTTGCAATCCCACCAGCAATGAATGAGTTCCTGCTGTCCCACATCCTTGTCAGCATTTGGTGGCGTCGGTGTGGTGGGTTTTGGTCTTTCTAATAGGGGTGTAGTAGTCTCTTGTTTTAATTTGCATCGTCCTGATGACATATGAAGTGGAATATCTTTTCATATGCTTATTTGCCATCTTTATATCTTCTTTGCTGAGGTGTTTATTAAGGTCTTTGGTCCACTTTTTAATTGGATAGTTCATTGTCTTATTGTTGAGTATTAAGAGTCTTTTGTATATTTTTGGACAGCAGTCCTTTACCAGATATGTCTTTTGCAAATATTTTCTCCCAATATGTGGTTTGAGTTTTCGTTGTTTTGACAGTGTCTTTTATAGGGCAGAAAATTTTAATTTTAATGAAATCAGGTTCATCAATTCTTTTTTTTCTTTCATGGATCATGCCTTTGATGTTATATCTAAAAAGTCATTGCCAAACCCGAGGTCATCTAGATTTTTTCCGTTGTTATTTTATAGCTTTGTGTTTCACATTTAGGTCTATGATCCATTTTGAATTAATATTTGTGAAGGGTGTAAGGTCTATGTATAGATTCATTTTTCACATGTGGATGTCCAGTTGTTCTAACACCATATATATATATTTAAATATATTTTTATTGATTTTATTTAGAGAGAGAGGAAGAGAGGAGAGAGAAAGAAAAACATCAATCTGCTGCCT